ATAAATAAATATCTCTATCTCTATCTCTATCTATCTATCTATCCATCCATCCATCCATCCAAGTGGATTTTCAATAAATGGTACTTATTTATAAATATGTCACTCATCCTGAAGGTGACCCAATACATCCATAAAATATACAAGAATGACTGGATAGAGCACGAAGGACTGCAGGGGCTTCTGCTTGGACCTTGGCTCTAAAACCAGAAAGGAAAAGTTCCATGAAATAGAGGATAGAGTCAGAATCACTCCTCACCAGATTATTATAAATAATAAAATATTATAAATAGAAAAATAGCAACTTCACAAGGAGCAACTTACCAGTGTGATAACCTGCTAACAAGCCACCACCTGTGCCTTCTACGGGTGCTGATGGGAGGACCACCCTGCGGGATTCCTACCCTAAGTGCATGATCCAAATCTAAACCTCAGCACACATTAGACAAACCAAGGCAGAGGACTTCCAAAACTGGCCTATGTTAAAAAATATACTCTTAAAAAACTATTAAAAAATTTAACTGTTTGGTTGACTAGGCAAAAGGTCTTTGTACCTGTGTCTGGAGTAGGCCAGAAGGAGTTGATGGACAAAATATGGACTCTCCTTATCAAGAAGCAATCAACTACCCTAAGCTTTCCAGCTACCACTCTTACTCTGGTTTTTCCACAATACGGAAGAGATCTCAAAGGCTTAAACTTTTGTCTTCATTGTAGACACTTAGGAGTTTACAGTATGGTGTTATGGGTTGAACTGTGTTCCTCAAAAAGTTATGTTGAAGCCTTAACTTGTAGTAAACATGATGTGACCTCAAGAAAAAGGGTCTATTTTGTGGTACTTTGTTATGGCAGTCCTAGGAAATGAGCGCACATGGCTACCCCCCAGGAATTTCAGGGATTTTTTTGTTTTTTTTGGTTTTTTACTTATTTGACATACCATCTGTTCTACCTTTTCCTGAGGAAACTGCATTCTCCTCTCCTTGACTCTCGTCTGGTGGTGAAGCAACTTCTCCAACCGTTCTGAGTTTCTGGTTTTCCTGCTTCTCTTGATTCTGGAATTCAATGGGATCACTTATCTTTATCTCTGAATGATCCTGGTACAATTTTAAAAGGGAATGAATTATTTAAATAAGAAGTCACCACTGCCTTCCAAAAATAGGCACCCAAATTGCAAAGAAGGAAGACAAGTAGGAGAATTAGGTTTCTGAGTGACAGATTGGCTCTTGAGAATGTGAATTTGGGAATAGGACATATGAGGGACCACTGAAAAGCATAAATGGCAAGATTAGATCTCTTAGGGATGAGAAATTAACAAATAATCTAAATGGATAGTCTAATGACTGAGGGAGTATACAGAGCTAGAAAATAAAAATTAGGACTGTGTCTTGTAAAGTTATATTTGCATAAGAAGATAAAAAAGAAGAATAAAATCAGAGTCCTCTCAAGGCAAGTGAAGCAAGTGAAGGAAGCCCCTGGCTAATCATATGACTATTCTGCTGAAAGATCAACCCAAGAGTGATCACTAGGTCTGAGGCCAGTTGAAAAGAAAAAAAAAACCCACCTTATTTGATGCTGGTTTTTCTTTCCTTCTTACTTACTACTCATCATTAAGTGAATACTTTCATATTTATTCAACAAATACTTAATTTGTGCTTAGTAAGTGCTTCCCAAGAGCCAGTACTCAGAGTGTGATGGGGACCAGCTGAGACTTGGGTCTGAGCTTTTAGGGACCTCACAGCATGCAGAATTTACAACCATCTGGTACCATAAAGGAATTCAGAGAAAGCTTCGTAAGAATACACCAATTTTGACACAGGCAGTGCCCAAAATGTTCACACTTCTATTCACCTGGGAGTCAGGGTTTCTGTGGACTGTCCTGCGCCTTCTCCTCATTTTGGTGACATGGTCAACTGGCAACCTCTCAGCTTGTTCCTGGCTGCTGATCTGCATCTCAGCCTCATCACAAGAGGATGCAGAAATTTGACTTCCATCCTGAAGAGAAAGACATTAATCTGCCATATCCTATTTTTAGAGTTATGATGTTCACGAAGAATCAGAATTTAAACTGAATAAAAAAACTATTTTACAAAAGGTAATTTTAATACTCTCTTGTACTGAATTATAGTCCAGGACAAGAATTTTAGAGTATTCCAAAAGAAATAATCACATTTAACAACCCCAGCTTGAAAAAAATAGTGTAAGAAAGCATTCAATGTTTTCTTAGTGTGAGTAATTAAGCCAATTAGCATTAATTTTTTGAGTATATGCTATTTGACAGGCAGTATGCTCTAACTAATAATTACAGCTAATATCACATCTTTACTGGGCTTAGTGTTTATACACGTTATCTCATTCATTCCTCAAAGCCTAGGACATAGGTAGTAACATTATCCCCAGTTTATAGATGGAAAAATTGAGGCTCGGATTCCAAAGTAACTTGTCAAGGCCAAAATAAGGGAGTAAGGTAAGAACATCACCGGTACAACCATAAACTAAAAGTACAGAGCTAAATTATCACAACAGTGTGATAAAGGTACCAAAAGATAACATACAAACTTGCTTATTTTATAAGAACTCATTGAGGGCCTGGGTGGCTCAGTCGATTAAGCATCTGACTCTTGATTTTGGCTCAGGCCATGATCTTGCTGTTTGGGAGTTCAAGCCCCATGTTGGGCTCTGCACTAACAGTG